CCCGAGGCCTTTACCAAAATGGCAAAAGACTGTCAGCGTGGTAGAAGAATGTTCCGTGGCAACTCTAGAGAAGATAGCGCTGGAAGAGGAGGTAACGCAGATGGTAAGTAAACCGAGGCTTGAATCTGTACGAACCTATAATAAACACGTTATGAGCGAGTTTAAACTATATTATTGTATAAATAAAACAGGCATCTTCACAAATGTATCATTACATTGTATATCGTTCTTCCTTGGCACTCGCCAGGAAAGTGGATTAAACGAGTCAGCTATGAATTAGAAAGTTAACAACTAATAAAGTGACTATCAATAAAACTAGCATAGCTTTTCGTAGTCGTTATTAAGTTTTACCTCTGTACGAATCCAACACAGAACTATAATTTCCTCCAAAGTCAACCTTCATGATAAGATATTTATGTAAGTTATTCATGTCCAGAACGTCACGTGCGAGGATAAGCATCCATCGAATCACAGGCGACCGTGGTCGCCCACTATAATGCCGATGATGTTCAGCGGGGATTACTATTGATTAGATGAAGCCAGCGATGAACGATGATGGACAGACCTCGGACTCAACATGAGACCTTAGAATGAACTACGAATATTGCAAATGTTTAACGATAGTAACGAATGTGATATTGCCGAATGCTCGAATATGATTAGCAGATCATGATAATATTTAACAAATTATTTATGTGAATGATGTTGGAATTCAGTAGATCATAGCGAAACTTTTTTATACGTTATTACTGATGGTGGGGTGAAAGCAGCCGTACATACATCATGTGTACACAACATGAATCCTAGCGAGGACTTCAGTCCATGAACAACGTTGGGGGATTGGTCCATTGAGGCGTGTGATGTTATCTAAGAGATTAATATACGTGATATTATAGAGTATACTATACAATTTTTAAACGATGATGTGTCTTTATTATTATTATTATTATTATTTAAAAAATATATAATTGGGATCGTCTGGGACGTTTTCATGGGCGCCATCTTGTATCGTTGTTGTGAACGATTGCTTTCAATTAATAAACGCAGTTGAGCTACAAAGTTACCATATTTACTTATGTGTCGTTATTTACCGCTTTTATGTCACTCATTACATTCTAATACAGTTGTAATGCTGAGATACCCCTTATCTATTGGGATCGCATCCTCGCTCAGCTTTCTTCTTCTTCTACCGTTCCTCAGCTATCTAACCTGCCGTCTTTCCTCAGTCTCCCACCCCGCTCTCCCTTAGCACGCCTGGAACGGTGTTCGCGCATGCGCAATGTCTCCCGAGAAGAAGAATATTTTGCAAACATTATGCATTAAATATGAAGAGGAGGTATTCTAGCATAGATTTATATGATAAGATTCTATCAGTAGACCTCACTTAGAAAATAAGAGAAGAATCTTGCATGTATGGGTGCTGCTGCATATACCCGTCAGTACATAATCTGTGCTACGTTAGTGTTGAGCGCTCATGCGCAATATCTCACCAGAGGAATTCTATTTTGTGACGAATATGGATATAATATGGTTAGGGGGTACCTCAGCATAGATTTATGTAATAAATTGTTATCAGTAGACCTGTGTAGCTAGTTTTATGATTTCATTGTTTTATATTCAATACGGGTTCATATACACACACAAGCACGTATACACACGCACGCGCACACACACACACACACACACACACACACACACACACACACACACACACACACACACACACGTACACCACACACACACACACACAACACACACACACACACACACACACACACACACACAGCACGCACACAGCACACACACACACATGATACACACACACACACACACACACACACACACACACACACCACACACACACACACACACACACACACACACATACACACACACACACACACACACACACACACACACACACACACACACCACACACACACACACACACCGCTCGCGCGCGCGCTGGCAGGACGCAAATCCATTAAAAAAAGTGGGGGGGACCAGACGTGGTTCAAGAGCCCCCGAGGGAGCGAACCGGCCGAGGGGGGAGCTGGGAGTGGGGAAAAACCCGGTCCAACGGTAGAGACTTTTCGTATTTTTGATATCGAAAGAGTTCATTTCGCGCATTTTAATTGCAAGTATCAACTATTTGTTGTATCGTTTACATGCCATAGGCTATATGTCATCTTGATCACTAGAGATTAATGAATTTTAAAACTTTCCATTTCGAAATAATTTTTTGTTTTTGACTTTTTCGTGTATATCGTTATTGAATTCTATCAGGGCTTCGATTCATTTTGAGGATGGGGGGGGGCAAACATATATTCAGAATTTAACGTGGCGTTATGGTAGCTTCAACTAAGATATCCCGAGTGGAAAGAGTGATAAGTGGTATTCCCAGGGGTCAGTGCTTGGCCCCGATCCTATTCGTCTTATACATCAATGACTTACCAGAGGTAACACAGGAGGGTACGCCCATCTACTTATTCGCTGATGATACAAAGATCTCAAGGGCTATCAGGGAAGTCGGGGATTGTGAGCTTTTGCAAGATGACTTGTACAAAATGCAGAAATGGACGACTGTTGGATGCTGTGTTTCCACAGCCGACAAGTGCAAGGTCATGCGAATAGGGAAAAGTAGATAGACAAATTTAACTACAAGCCAAGGAGGACGGAACAAACTTGAAATACTCTGAAGAAGAAAAAGATATTGGTGTCACCATTGACAACAAACTAGCTTTTGATAAACATATTACTGAAAAAGTTAACAAAGCTAACTCGATCATGGGGCTGATTAGGCGCACTATGGAATACATGGATGTGAAAACTTTTAAATTATTATACACTGGTCTTGTACGCCCTCACCTGGAGTACGCAAATCAGATATGGGCTCCCCATCTAGTGAAACACATAGAAGCAATCGAAAATGTTCAGAGGCGTGCAACCAAACAAATCCCTGGTATGGCAGATTTCTCCTATGATGATCGTCTCCGGCAACTCAGGCTCCCAACTCTAGCCTATAGGCGAGTGAGGGGTGACATGATTGAGATGTATAAAATACTGACCGGTAAATATGATCCTGAAGTGTCGGACTTCATTACAACAGCAGGTGAATCGGTAACACGGCGGACATGGTAGCGTAATTATAACCTAAATTAGCTGAAAATAACCCTAGAACCTAGAGTAAACTCTCCCTTTAAAAATAACTTTTTCTTTTTAGCTCACCTTGACATCGTCAAGCTGAGTTATTGCCATGGGTCGTCGTACGTCGTACGTCCGTCCGTCCGTCCGTCCTTCCGTCAACATTTGGCTACGGTCAACGATAACTCAGGAACTGTTTAACCCACATGTTTGAAATTGGGTATAGTTGTTACTGCTATGGGAGAGGTTTGAACGTCCTATTATGGAGCACGCCAGTCGACGTACTTTCGAACCACGGCAATTTTTTGGAAAAAATGGGAATTGCCATTAGTCAGTTCAGGTTTAACGGATTTTGCTCATTTTTGGTATGTGAATGAATAAGGGCTAGGGGTTTTAATATTTAAAAAAAACTTATGCAAATTATGTAGGTTTTGGCAATTATATAGCATATTATATAGACACGCAGATAACAGTCTGTGGTGTCACACTCGTCTGGTTCGTTTTACAAGATTTCATTAACAATATCTTTAATGCAAAATTGGTATTTCCTCTCCACCCTGCCGATAAAACGTCTATATTAGAGTAAAGTTTTAGAAAACATGTCGGAACGCAGCATAACCTATTTATTTCGAACGCCATTGCTAAGAAACATCAAAGCGGGTATAACGCCATCTACCGTCACAAATTGTGATTCATTTTGGTTTATAAATTATTATTGCGATATACAGATGGCAACCGTGGGCTACCGCCTAGAAACACTCATACGAAGTAAACACTTCCATGCAAACCAATTAACCTTTGACAAAAGTTATGTTATGGGCAGGGAAACACCATTGTCATGTGGTATATAGCAGCTACGTGGAATAAGCGTATCCTCTCAATCTTACACGTTACACATCGGGAGCTCCGCTTTTAGCAGTGCCTAAATCTGAATATTATAAAAACGTTAAATGGCGATCATTTAGGTGTAACGCCATCGCTTGCCCACATCTCAGACTTTCACATCTTAAACATTTATTTTCACATAAAAAATTACACATAATTATCAAGAGTATATAATGGGAGTTCTCCCATATATACTCTTCATTTCTATAATGTACGTCGATGGTTGCTCAATTAAAACTGACTTCTTCTCACTCACTCATTTGTGTCCTTTTTTTGTGGTGAGCTACAGTGTCATTGACACTTTTATTTTATTGAGACGTTCCAAGTGCCTGTGAGTCGGCGGACTTGTTTCCATCACTCAAACCGCCCTTGATTACGGCTCAAAGGTCCTTGGATCGAATCCAGTCAGATTTTTTATTATGTACCTGTTTTCTGTATTTTTCTATCTTTATCCATTTAACTATTTCTTTCCAATTAAGGCAAATATTTACATGATTTATTTACAACAATTTCATAGCAACAAATAATTTTTACAACAATAAAATTATTTATTTTTTTAATAAGGTTAGGGTTAGGGTCACAATGCACCATAAAACAGGAGTTTCAGGCACGCGATTTTTTATCAACCAATGGGATTTGGGAGGTATGCAGAATGCAGAAGGTTGCTGAAATGATGTGTACGCAACTGCGTATCTCATTCTGCATATCTGCGCCTAACAAAGGTGTCACTGCGCATGACTTAAATGTTACGTTTATAACCGTAGCAACATACCTCAGATGAGCCCAGACGCTCTGCGGCTCTTGTTAAAAATTATGAGGTTGCTCGTCTTACACAGCCACATAAAGTTCGGAATAAGAAAGCATAAAATTTTATATTTATTTGATATTTTACATTAATGAAAGCATTTTCAGTAGCTTAGGTTCTGTTGCCAGTGTTTGTTTTACACGTGTGTAATTCAGGTTGAATTTGTCTTTGAAATTTGCAGCTGTGACAAAAACCATGAGTGACCGATACGACTCATCCAGCCATCACACAAAGACAAGCACGCCAAAAAAATATCACCCTCATACAACACCTTTACTAGATGAGAGCGTTGCATCAACTGTCACGAGAGATGAGGCTGTGGCATCCACGTTAGAATCTCTTTCTCTGCATTCTGAGCCCGTATGCAAGTCTGCGGGAATCAACCAAAGCACAACGGTGTCTACAAGTAGCGGGACTGGCAAGTCGGCAACTTGCAGAACTCTTGCCGAAGATGGAGATGACGTGTTTCAGGAGCTTCCTGTTGACGGTTGCAGCAGCGATGACAGTGAGACGGAGACGGAAGGAGAAATCAGGTATGAGCAATTATCCCCAATCTATTTTTTATTGTTCACATTGTTGAAAGAAATCCACAACTGTGATATCTGGAACTCTTGGTGTAATCTGTAGTAAATTTACAGGAGTAAGACATAAGGGGAAGTACACATTCGACTAGCTCTTCCATAATCGGTTTCGCCATATGTATCACAATCCAGAGATATAGACCAGGATTCTCCCCCAAGAAATTCAAAAGGCATATTGGGCAATTGGGAAATACATTCCTGAATGCTAATTGGAGTCTGTAACGCGTGTCACATATGATTCCAATGCAAGGGTGAACTCGGATCAGTTTCAGGCCTAGCCCACAGTGACTGGTGTGTCTAACACGCGACCAGTTGTGTTCCCATTTGGGGGATGGGGCAGTTAGCTGCACATATGACCAGCTGGTTGGCAGTCGACATGCAAATGAGTCCGAGTGATGAACTGAGCATTCGTATGGCATAGCATGCATGCAAAAATACACGGTGTAGAAAGTTAGAAACCTATACAACAGTTTGGGCAGTTGCGATTTGAATTGTATTATTTGTAAGAAACTGCTGATCGATGCATATATATGATTTTCAGTTGGGCTTTATTTGGAAGCAGCAGTGGAATTGATCAACTGTAATGTGTAATATGAATTATAACGGCTATATTATTAAGCTTAACGGTTATGTGCTTACATTTAAAAGGCACAAGGTGTTGAATATTCTAGAAATCTTCAACAGTGCGGATTAGATCTGCGTTTCTCTGAGTAATGATTGTACTGATGATAATTTGAGTTCATGTTCATTGTGACGTATGAAACTATGAATCATATATAAATATATCATATATATCAGGGGCAGAAATGAACTTTTGAACAAGGGAGTCCAACGGACTCCCTGGACTCCCTGTCCTCAAAAAGAGGGAGTCCGTAGCAAAATGAGGGAGTCCGTAGTCTGAAGTTCAAAAGTAAAGCACAACAACAATAACGCATGTGCGTATTTTGAAGATTCGTGCGATGCACGTCTGCTAAATTTTCTTTGGACATTTGCTGGAAAAAATACGGTAATTCCGTGAGGCCGTTCTCTGGAACGAACTTGTTAGTATAGCAGAATTTTCAGGGAGCCACACGGACTCCTGCATATATGTCAAATCAGGGAGTCCGACAGTAAATGAGGGCGTATTTGACTCCGGACTCGCATTAATTTCGCACCCTGTATATACTCACATTTTCATAACATCTGTGTGTCTGTGCATGCATACAACGTTGTAAATGTTTTCTATTATCTTTAACTTTTAACTATTGAACAATAACTGTTATCTGTTACCTGAAAGCTAATTGTAAAGGATGTATAGTGTTACCCTCCTAATGTGTACAAATCTAATGCAGCAATTCACACAGCCCTTGTTTTTAAACTGTTCATGTTAGTTTCACGCACACTAAAATATTCATTCAAGCTAAATCCCATTCAGTCTAGTATGTAAATTTCAGCAAGGGCAGGCTCTCCATGAGCAGTGCTGCTGAACCATGTATCCCGCCCTGGGAGAAGTGGCTAGTGCAGAAGGAGATGCAGCGGAGAAGGTCATTGTCAGACCTAGCACGGAAGGAGGAGGTGGCTTTACATCTACAAAAAGAGCAAGAGGTGAGTTGGCCACATGTACGCGAGCACAAATGCATTACGCACCGAGTTGAACCATTTTGTGCAATTGTTTACGTTTATCATGTTCAGTGTATTTCACATACACACACACATATATATATATATTATATATATATGCATATATGCTGTTATTCCAGCATTTGTTCCAGAAGTTACTACATTTATGGTAAAATCTGGAGGTGAGGTGGGTAGGTAGGGGAGGGGTAGTGGTATGGTTAGGAAGGGTAGGTTGATTGGTGCCATAGAATGTATTTAAACTATTCGTACTTGAACATTTTCTTACCGTTTGGACTTTAATACACACGGTCTAGTGAAGTTCCTAACTTTATACCCTCACCCTTTGTGGCATGATAGTACTTACAGTAGTTCCTTGTCTCACAACGGTGTACAAAAACTGACTTATCATAGGTTATCAGCTTATTTTACAGGCTATTACTTGCTTTGAAGTAGCAAGAAGCTATATGAATCTGTGTTTATTTGTAACCCAAGAAGCATAACGCAGCCATTGTCTCACTACTTCTTGTGTATATATTGTAGGCATGTGGGAATGTTATTAATTGATTGGTTCCTTAAAAATAATTGTTATTCCATATTATTATGTAAACAATACAGTAAGCTAGACCCCCAGATTAGTATTATAATAACCTGTGGGTCTAGCTTGCTGTATTATGTAAAAAATATCTGTATGAACCATGATGTATAACGACAACATTTACATATGTGATAATGGCACACCTTCTCAAGTTTACATAAATATAATTATTATTTTCTTTATTGTGTATTAAGAAACAAAGGGATCAGAAAAAGTCACTTGCAAACGCACACTTTAAACAGTGGCTACGTGAAAAGGAAGCTAACAACATTCTTGCAAAACAAAGTGCAGACAAGCGAAAAATACTGCAGGATCAGGAAAGGGTAGGTTTCTGAGAGCTTGATAGTGGTCTAGTTTAGTAGTTATACAATGATGTTTATCAGAAATTAATACATTTGTCTTAGTAAACAGACTGGGGCACTGTTGAATTCAGCATGGTAGCTATATTTCTTGCAGGAAGCAAAGAGGAAACTACGTGAGAAAGCTAAAGTCCGATATACAGAATGGTTGGCACAAAAACAGAAGGAAGACCTAGCAAGGGTGCAAAAGGAAATAGAGCAAAATATGGTAAAGAATTGAGTACGCTCATATAAATTACTACTAGAGTTCTCCATTTTGGAATACTGCAGCAATGGTATGCATCGGTTCATGCACAGAGTTTGCAATAGTTTAAACTATTTACTCGTGCTGTAAAAAAATTTTGGATTGCGTTACTTAGGTAGAGAAAAAACAAGCTGAGGAGCGAAGGAGAAAAGCAGACATTGCCTTCAAACAGTGGCGACGTGAATCGGAAAGTCGACTCGAGTCTCTTCCTGCCGGTTAGTCATTCAGCAATAATCACAAATCTCACTGTCAGTCGATTTTGTGTTTTTACTGATTCTACTGTCCGGTCGTCCTAAACTTGATGTCCGCCTTCGGTATGAGATTGAATCGATTCTTAGTGATAAAAATTTGTAATTATCTCTTTTAATGCTAAATACACAGGATATCTAACCGACTACCCGGTGCCTACCTACTGCAACCCAAATCCATGGATACCCCCCGACATCCCCAAACCCAAGAATGAACCACACACCCCTCGCAAGAAGCTTCCAAAGAGTTCGACCATGAATGTGCGCAGGCCCCGAACTAGCCAGGCAGGAGGAATGAGAAGCATCAGTGTGCAGGTTTATAACACCCGATGTAACTCACGTTCAGCAAAGAGTCTGCAACTTCTCTGATTGCTTCTTTGACAGTTTTTGACGTAACATCAATCAGGTATTGATTTTATGTCAGTTAGGTATTGATATCATACAGTGTCAGTGTTGATCATTATTCATCCAATATTGATCAGTTATTGATTTGATATTGATTTGTTAATGGACTCATACTGATTTGTTATTAACTCATATCGATCGGTTATGATCTTACAGGCTTGTACTGTCCGTATGCCTGCTGTGTCTGTGTTCTGCTGTAATAACGTTGATAGTTGTGTTGATCTCAGTCTCTGGTGGCGATTTTACCAAAGGAAAGATAGTTTTCCTTGATGCATCTTATATATGGTCACCGTGCAATATTTTGTTTGCGATAACTTGATCCAGGTTTTCGTGACTGGTTATAATATATATATATGGTTATAATATATATATACAAGGCTCGACACTAGCGGTGGCCCGGTGGCCCGGGGCCACCAAAACTTGATGTCGGGCCACCAAAATTTCCAAAAGTTAAAATTTGGTGGCCCGAACGGGCCACTAACATTTCAAAGTGTCTATGTGATAAAAATAATTG